ATTTTCTGCACTGAGTTTTATCGGTCACTAGTCTTGGGCTCTGTTTCGGCGAATAACACGATATGAGTGACCCTTTCCTACTGTAAATGACAACCCATTCATTAGTGCTATCACTCGACGCCCGAAATATGATAGCTTTGGGGTTGTAATTAGAATCTTTGTCTGTGGTGTTAGTAGTGCCATAATAACAATGGGTCTCAATAAAGTTGCTTACGATATAGTTTACGGTCTTTTATATAATTGAATACAATATTAATTCTTAACTAATGCTTTGATTAATGCAATTCAATGTATAATAACCTGATATTTGACATAACAGTCGTAATCATTACCACTGAATCTTTTGATAATCCCTTTACCAATGGTTGACATATCGGACATTTTTCCCGAGTCCACCGCAAACTGCCATTGAATGGCATTTGTATACATAAAATTTACTTTATTGACATTTGATCGGAACACTTGAATGCCTTCATATCTGCCTTTAGTTGTCATTAATCCACAAAAGTCTGTTTGACAGGGAATAGCATTTAGAGACACAATGAATACAATAATTGCAATCATTTTCTATATTAAACTAATGGCAGAGATTGTAATAACTGTTGAAAAATAGATAATAAATTTGTATTCAATTTTAACAATGAAAATAATGCGAGTTTTAATTCAATTGATTTAACAAATAATATAATCAAATAACTGGAGATTGAGTTCATGTATTCATTCATATAACTATTGTTACAAAAATTGTTTGAACACGAATACAGAGTATATGTTTAAAAATATGATAATTTAGTCAATATTTTTTAATTCATAAATAATTATAATTGATTTTAATGGTCAATCTAGTTAAAAACAAATTAAATATTTTTAATCATTTCTGTTGTTTTTCAAAAACTAAATACAATGAAAACAATTAATTAAAAAACTTCAAAAGTCCTGTAAATATAGCATACGTTGGGTGGTCTTGAACCCCAAACGGGGCCAAAGTATACCCTTTGGACACATCATTGCCCGGTATATTGACTACAAGCCAATACTTAACTGTGAAAACTCACCGTCGGGATCAACCAAAGCCAGGGTATAATATACACCCTCTTCTGTGGGCCACTGGACTGTGGGCTCGTCTTTGACGGACAGTGGCGTCAATTCATTGCCCAGATTTACGTCAACACCACTCGGATAGTGAATCTATTGTTAAATGTTCATTTATAATGACAATTAACATTATATTTAATGACATGTATAAATAAAATACTGTAGGCCTCAGATACTAATTATGGTTTTTAATTATAAAAAATAACAAAAATATATGGAAAATTTATATTGCATTAAAAATAAATTCCAAGTAAATTTCTAAGAGTACACAAATATTGGGTTAATAATTAATAAATAAAAGATATATAATTTCTTAATAAAACAATAAAATTCATAAATTGTGTCAAAATGTATAGAATATATAGGAATAGAAAATATAATAAATAAAAAACATTCAATTTTTGAGATTTAATTTCTCTTCTATTTTATATCTAACGGTGAAGTCTTCTTCTCCTTTATGTCTGTCTTCTCTTTTGCACTAAAATTATAATTAAATTAACAATTTGTATACAATAATTGCTAACAACTATTACCCTATTCTTCGGGTCAAACGTAGATTTGTCGCAAATGACTGGCCGTCCGTCTCGTCTGAAGAATATATAGTATCCGTGGATTACATTCCGCGACTTCTTCTCAACGATACCATCGATACTCTCAACAATCGATGGATCGATGGCTTCGATGATTTTTTCATCTCTACCAATCAATTCTCTGCATTTGGTTTCATTAATCACTAGTTTTTGAGTCGTTTCTTGCGGTAAATAACACGATATGTTTCGCGATTTTTTGCAAAATCTATTGACGATCTGTTTATCGTACGAACGATTTAATCCTTGGAAAAACATTCCAAGAATTGTTGTCTCAAATCTAAGCCCCCATTGCTTCCCATTGTTATACATAACGTATTCATCCCTAACACTGGATCTGAACACTTGTATGCCTTCATATTTGCCATTAGTTTTCATTAATTCACAAAATTCTGTCTCATTTTGACAGTGAATGGCATTTAAAGACACAATTAATACAATAATTACAATCATTTTCTGCATAAAAGTGAAGAACTGTTGGCAGAGATTGTAATAACAGTTGGAAAATGTTTGAATAATTCTGTAATTGATTTTAACAATAAATATAACGCGAGTTTTAAATCATGTATTATTGTTATAAATAGAAAAATGGATTTTATATGAATTCGTGATACAAATATGGGATTAGATTATGCAAATAAAATTAAATAAACAAATAGTAATAGTTTTTATAAATATAAAAATTAAAAATATTGAGAATATTTACTTTATATGACATTAAAAATAAATAATAATATAAATAAAATTATGTACAAAATTACACAAATAATTGAATTAAATAAAATGTGTATAATTTCATAATAAAACTATAAAATTTATAAATTGTGACAAAATGTATGGAAAAATAAAGCATAAAAATATAAGAATAAGAAAACAATTTTTGAGATGTCTTTCGCTTCTATTTTTGGTGTTTCGCTGATTTGCAATAATTATATCAAACACTAAACACACCTCTTGTTTCTGGTTTCGCACGACTCGGGACTCTCTGTTGTGCCGGCGATTGCTTACCACCGGTTGTGGCGACTTTTTGGACCGGCGGTGCAGCCAATGGACTCACATTTGATGTTCTCAGCCTTTTAAGCGATTCCAGGGCTAGAAATGAATGAATGAATGAATGAATTATTAAAATACAAATCCATTAATTGATTAAAATATTCATTTTAAACACTAAACACACACCTCTTCCCCGACCACTTCCTCGCAATGGAGTCGTTATGTCTTAGAATATAAAACAATTAATTATTTGTAATATTAATGTCAATCACTAAACACATACCACTTGTCGTTGATGTCTGAGAAGTTTGAGTGTCCGTTCCCTTCAATGCTGTGACCGCCGGTTGTTGTAGTGATGTTTGTGACGGCTGTACAGATGACTGCGAGGCCTGCATTAAATCGCTCGGTTCGCCTGTAAGTGAATGAATGTATAAAATGTGATATATTTTTGGGCAAAACATATATTCAAACATCAAATACAAGACACATACTCTGCTTTGCCGTCGAAATGGATATAAGACTCGACGACTTAGTAGATAACTTGTACCCTATTTTTGTAAATAAAAGGTTATTTCATTCAAAATGTGTTAATATTTTGTTAATTATTATAGAAATTATCAAATGATTTATATGTTTACATAATTCTGGATAATATTTGCGAATCGCAAAAGCGGTGCCAATTATTACAATAATTGCAATTATGATAACGAGAATAATCGCTATAATAAAAGTCTTGGATTTATACCACGGCGTCGACGGTCTCGAAGGGAAACAGTCCGGCCACAGGTCCTTCTCATTGCACTAAAAAAATAATTAAATTAACAATTTTTATACAATAATTGATAGAAATATACAGTTTTCTGCGTGTTGTCTATGGGTTTAAAACAAAAGACTGGCCGTCCGTCTCGTCTGAAGAATATGTGGTGTCCGAAGATTGACTCTCCGTAACCAAAGTCAACGATACCATCGATACTCTTTACAATCGATGGGTCGATGGTTTCGATGACTGTTTGATTTCTTCCAATCAATTTTCTGCACTGAGTTTTATCGGTCACTAGACTTGGGCTCTGTTTTGGTGAATAACACGATATGAGTGACCCATTCCTACTGTAAATGACAACCCATTCATTAGTGCTATCACTCGATGCCCGAAATATGATAACTTTGGGATCGTATTGAGAATCTTTGTCTGTGTTATTAGGCTTAGTATAGCCATAATAACAATTGGTCACAATAGAGGTATTGCTTACGGACTTTAAAAGAATAGATTAAAATCTAATGTGTAATTAATGTTCTAATAACTAAAATGCAATCTATAATAACCTGGTATTTGACATCACAGTCGTAATCATTACCACTAAATCTATTGATAATTTCTTTATCATATGATTTGTTTAATCCAATGAAATCCATTGCAATACCTTTCGGTCCGCTAAAAGCAAACCGCCATTGATTTCCATTCTTATACATAATGTATTCATTCTTAAGACTGGATTTGAACACTTGTATGCCTTCATAACTGCCATTGGTTTTCATTAGATCACAAAATTCCGTCTCATTTTGACAGTGAATGGCGTTTAAAGACACAATTAATACAAGAATTACAATCATATTCTGTGTTAAAGTGAAGAACTGATGGCAGAGATTGTAATAACTGTTTGAAAATAAAACATAATTCTGTAATTGATTGTAACAATAAATATAACGCGAGTTTTAAATCATGTATTATTGGTATAAATAGAAAAATAGCTTTTATATAAATTCGTGATAGACATATAGGATTAGTCTATCATCTAGGTCTACATTTCTGGGCACTAGAAACCGTGTTTCATAAAGTTTGGTTTATAGAGTTAGTCACAAGAATTTTTAAATCTATTCCATCGGTATTTTTTATTTGACAAATGTAATGATATATCATTGCCCGGTATGTTGTGTCAAAGCCAGTGCCAATGCGTAATCTATTCAATCTAATTACAATATTATTTGGCACAGTTTGACATAATATGTGATGTAACATATCATGTAGTAATTTGATGTTTTGACAAAATGTAAATAAAATTCAATTAACACATTGTAATAATTTTTATGGTTTTAATTATAAAAATTATAAAAATATATGGAATATTTATATTGCATTAAAAATAAATTCCAAGTAAATTTCCAAAAGTACACAAATATTGACCTGTCAATAATTAAGACATAAAAGAGATATAATTTCTCAATAAAACAATAGAATTCATAAATGGTGTCAAAATGTATAGAATATATAGGAATAGAAAATATAATAAATAAAAAACATTCAATTTTTGAGATCTTATTTCTCTTCTATTTTGTGTCTTTCGGTGAAGTCTTCTTTTCCCTTATGTCTGTCTTCTCTTTGCACTGAAGTTATAATTAAATTAACAATTTTTATACAATGATTGCTAATAGCTATTACCCTATTCTTCGGGTCGAACATAGATTTGTCGCAAATGACTGGCCGTCCGTCTCGTCTGAAGAATACATAGTATCCGTGGATTACATTTCCCGACTGTTTCTCAACGATACCATCGATACTCTTAACAATCGATGGATCGATGGCTTTAACAACGATTTGGTTTCGTCCATTCAATTCTCTGCATTTGGTTTTATTAGTCACTAGTTTTTTCACTTGCGGTGAATAACACGATATGTTTCGCCACTTCTTGTTGTAAATGACGACCCATTGGTTGTCACTTGCATTCGATGCCCGAAATATGAGGTCTTTGTGATCATATTGATTGTCGGGATCAACGGTAGTTCCCTAGAACACTTGGTCACAATTTTGCCATTGTTTGGAACCTTTGAAATCAATTCAAAACAATGTAAATGTTTAACAAATGCTATAATAAAATCAAATCCAATGTATAATAACCTGAGGTCTGACATAACAATCATAACCTTTTCCACTGAATCTATTGATAATGTCATAACCAATGCGTGATTTATTGGAAATCATATGAATACCAAATTTATCGATCGTAATCTCCCATTGATAGCCATTATTATACATTAGATCTTCATTTTGAACACTGGATCTGAACACTTGTATGCCTTCATATCTGCCATTAGTTTTCATTAATTCACAAAATTCTGTCTCATTTTGACAGTGAATGGCATTTAAAGACACAATTAATACAATAATTGCAATCATATTCTGTATAAAAATCAAGAACTGATGGCAGAGATTGTAATAACAGTTGGAAAATAAAACATAAATCTGTAATTGATTTAAACAATAAATATAACGCGAGTTTTAAATCATGTATTATTAGTATAAATGGAAAAGTGGCTTTTATAAAAATTCGTTATACATTAATTTATGCATATGTATTATTATTGTTGCAAAAAAGTTTAGCATAAATATAAGGCTGTTTTTGGTCAAAAAATTAATTAATTTATTTTTAATCATTCTTTTGCTATTAATTATCAGCTCTAGTTTTGAGTTTTATTGTAGTTTTAGTTAAACCGTTTGATTATCGCAACGGTTGGCGATACTGTCACGACATTTCATTTGATGTGTTAATAAACGGCCCAAACAATAAAACATTCATTGATTTAAAACTATTTCTTCGATACAAGAATTTATTTTTAGAGACAGAATTTAGTGATCAGACAATTAATACGGCGTTTAGAGTTAGAAATAACAAATCTATTGGACGTATGATTTGTATAATTGTTGTAATAGTAATACCTTTTTTACATTTTTTTCAGAAATTATTATGTAATTAATAATAATCATGTGATTTTTGATATTTGTTTAATATATTCAATAGTATAGTACTTATTATAAGACATGTGAACTAGACGCTGTTTCAATGAACCTTAATGTTTTATTGTTATATTAAGTTTTTACTATAAGTTTAGTACAATTAGAAGTCTTATCACATTTAAAACAGGACTTAAAAACACAGTTTTGTTCAAAACAAAAACTCCCGTGACTTTTATAATACACATGTATTTCAGGGCACATATTCTATCGATAATTACAGATGGAAGGGCTGACTAACAAATTTAAAATTACCTAGAGTTAGCAATAATTGTTTAATATTTACATTATTTACAATATTTTTAATAACATATACAATTTATATTATATATTGTTGAGTTTGTAATCCATCTACAAAATTGTATAAATAATACATTTTAGTATTAATTATAAGTCTATTTATTAATACGATGAAGTCCTGGCGGTTCACTAATTAAATGATAGTTTGATGTTTCAATGATTTTCAAGTAATAGTTTGGGAAATTAAAAATAATAAACACATGTCCGGTCTTAACATTCAATTATTATTATCATATTCTATGAAACCAATAGATTAACAAGATGTACAAGGTGATATCATATAACCATAAGCATAAATCCTATAAAAATATGATACTTTTAATACAAAAACTTCATTCTTTTGGTCACTTCTTCGCACATATTCTTCACATAAGAAGTAAGTATTTTATAATAAAAACTAATTATAATTAAAATTTTTAAAATTGTTTTAAACATTTTAAACATTTTACAGAAAACAGTGTAAAGGAAAGCAATGTTTGCCTACATTTTGAGTTTCCTTTTGATCGGCACTTTCGTGAGCGTAGAGAGCGCTCGGTTTGGATGTAAGTCTTCAGCGCAACCATTAAAACAACGACAATCACTAATCATTATCTCTACCATTAAATCCAATAGTCACAGATCCGGGCAATGCTAACAAACTGATCGACCAGTTGTTGGGTGTCGTGAAGACCAAATACGGGGCCAATTTGGACCCATTCCACGTCCCGGACCAGCACTTGCACTTTGACAAGAAAGTTGCCCTCACCTGGTGGCACGGTATGCACCCCCACACCCCCTATACCAACATAACCCATATAAAAAATATCATGTATTAAAATAACCCTAATGTCACGGCGTGTGTACAAAACAGGACAGTTGAACATCAGCGAGGGTCTGATCAAAGGGCTGTCGCATCTGATCCGATCGGGCGACTGCGACATCGGCACCGATAAGGGCAAGTTTGTGGCCCACGTCCAGGTGGGCGACGCCAATGTGGCCGCGCATTTCCACGGCGTTATGAAGCTAAACATATTTCACGCCACTGTTAACCTCGATGTGTCGATCGGTAATCTGGACGTGAAATTGGGTGTCGGTCTCGACGACAAGCAGAAGATGCATCTCAACGAGTTCAACATCGATGAGCTCAAGAATGTTAAGATTCACGTGTCGGGGCTGAAAATCTTTACCCCGTTGGTCAACGCGTTGGCCAACGCTTTTGTCAACGTGTTTAACCCCCAGACCCGACAGATTTTGGGCAATTTGCTGAAGGGTATCATCGAGAAGGAGATCCAGAATATTAAGATCCCTCCCACAGCCATCGCAGAGTACTAGTCATGTTGTGAGCGATGCTTTTTCCCCCATTAATCTAATTATGATTTGTTTTTTTGGTAATAAAATAATAAATTGTATTGGTTAATTGTAATGGGAATACTGTATCTTTTTATATAAACACTTATAAATAAAATTTTGTTTATTTGTTTGTTTAGTTAATAACCGCTGCTCTTATAAATTGATGTTTTAAATATAAATCAATGTTTATAGATTTTCTGTTTATTGGTAATAAATTATTATAATAACATTATTAATTATAAACAATTAAAATATGCGATAAGTAAAGTTATAATACTCTGTTTTCTAGATTGAAAGGATATTTTTAAAAGTGTATCTTTGCTTTGTAATAATATAAAATACTTACATGATTAGTAATCATTGATTACTCACAAACGGATGTATCATATATTATATTTAATATAAAATCTAAACATACTTAGAATCTGTATATTTTAGGATATGATAATTTTTTTGCTAATTAAACAGAGAATACATATCGTTGTCGTCAATGGATTAAGCATAGGATTCATTTAAAAAAACTAATCAATTATTTACACATATGTTTATGTCTCAAGCATACAAAGATAGTGAATTGCATTTTCAATGTCTAAATGTCTTAGACAAACATTTTTTTATTACCTTTATGTTTATTCAACAGCATTTTATGCTATTTTATGTTTTATTTGCAACAATTAATTCATGTATAAAATACGATTTTTTGCGTTAAATAATATTTACTTACTTGTTAGTTATCCAATACGGTCTATAAAAAAGTTTAAGGTTAGTTTGTAAAAGGTTAGCAAATAATGCAAAATTATAAGTTTGCAGATAATATTAGCTTAAAACGATAAAACGAAATAAAGTAAACACTTTCTACAATACATACCTATGATAGTACCGCTAACCACCACTACTTCATCCCTCAGATCTATCATTTATAGGGGTTCGACTGTATTCGGCAATATTCTTGTGTTTCGCGGTTTTTTCATAGCGTCCTTATATTCAATCGGTTTACCACTTCTTAACATCTATTTTATAAAAAAGGTTTGATTAATAAAACGCTTACAAAACCGATTATCACTTTATTGACTTTAGGCTACTACTACTTTAGACCTAGTTTTCCGGCAAATCCAGGGCAAATTTTGTAATGCAATTTATTCTCCAATATCAGGCTTGCAAAATTGTGTTAAAAATAACCAAGTTGACAAAAAAATCACATCCCATTATGAGCATGGTAACGGACGCACTGGCTAGACACAATATTTTTATTTAAAATAATACTCAATTTTTAGTTACTTAATATCTATAAACAGATTTTTATTAATCAACCATATGCAATTTATAAACATATTAAATAAATTAATGTAATTATATAGACAATCATTACATGTATATAATTAAATAATAGTGTTAATGAAGAGATAATGTAAATCATGAATACACACCTCTTAATCGCATTCATATTTATGGTAATGTGTGTCCAGCGAGCGGTCGAGTCGGCGCCGGCAGACAAGAGCAACGATACAATCGCTAGTAATAGTAGTGATATTAAACCTATTGAGACGACTGGACCGACAACTCGTATACCAATCATACGTTTCCATCCTCCCCGACCTCCCGATCCCGACGAAGACACTGGTGGTTATCAACGTAAATGGTTATGGAAATGGCAGAGATATGGACTAAAACCAGTTTAAACAATGTGATATTTCAACCATTTTATTTTTTAATTGTATAGTTTTAATGAAAATAAACACATAATGTAATAATTTTAAATATAATCAAAATATATTTATTATTAAAATTGATTTATGTGTTTGTAAACGAAGATTGTGTTTTATTTTAAGTAAATAAACTTTTTATATTAAATTTATTTTATAATTCAGTTATAAATGCATTTAATAGTGTATCACAAATGCAATTACAAGTAATTTTTGAATACAAAAAACGATGAGTATAAAAAACATGATGAAAATAATGGTTGATATTAAAATAAATGGCAAATTCTTTCAACAAACGCTGCGATAAAAATATCTTACATGTTCAAATTTAAAATATGTAAAAAAAACTAGATAAATATAAACTACAAAATCAGTGATTCAAACATCAAATCACTTCTTAAGCTTAATATTACTGAAGACAATCTCCGGATCATTAGAGTTGAGTATATCGTTAAACCTGCGCCTCCTGTCCATCGCATCGCTGCTGTTAACGCTTTCAGTACTTCCAGTACTACTTGTGCCGCCGTTTTGTTCAATGGCAGAGATGTGGCGATTCCTCCCGAGACAACCGCCCGGCGCTTGTCGTCGACGGGCGAAGAAGTATACGTTTACGGCAATACTCACAGCAATCAGAGCACCCAATACTGTGAAACAAATTTTGAGCACTTGTGGCACATCCCAGCCGTCGGAGTCGTCGCCCGACTCCAGTGGGTCTGACGTCGGGTCCGAAGTGGTCGCCGACGGCGCCGATCCCTTGCGTTTCGGTGGCCGCCCTTTCCGTGTCTCGCATATAAAGTCATAGACGTGTGAATCGTTAAAACACGGACTCAACGACCACTTCATGGTTTCCCGTCTCATTGACACACATTTTTTGCCACCGTTTTCCGTGTCGTGTCCGGCGCTGTTCGCCCAATACGTCAGGTCTACGGCCGACCCGTCGTCCCATTTGTACCGATCTATAGATTAGAGAATTTTTAATTAAATTAATTGTTTGTTTGCCTTTTTAAAAAAGAAATCCCATAACACATACCGACGTCAGTCTCATGCAAACCAATCCATGTGTTGTCCCGTATTTTGTCCGTCATTTTGAGCACAGTATCGAAATTATAGGAGTGGACAGACATTAGGCTGGCGTTCAATGACTGGCATCTGTCCGACGCCTCCGCCCACGTTGTCCTCAATAGGTTTGGCTCAAACTCTGAGCTAAACAGATAACAAGATCCCGATGTCTTGTCAAATGACACCCATTTTAGGGCCGACTCTTGTTGTGCGTTATATTGGGGGCAAACCTCTCGGCCGCTGTCCTCCTCTTCTGGTGCTGTGAATGTGTCGCTTGTCTTACAGATGAATGGTTTGCTGTCTGAACACAAGCCGGTACTCCATTGGCCGGACTCCCTGTCCATAAACACACAGCTGTGAGTCTCCTTTGGGCTAATAATGGGCTGTTTTGCGGCCCAAATGGTAATGTCAACGAACTGGCCGTCTGTCCATTCAAACCACGTTAGCGATGAGTTTTGTGTCCCAAACAAACCGATCCACAAGTGGTCGACATTTGTGCGGGTTTTGGCATAACTGGCGATAAACTCTTGTTCGTCGGGCTCTACGATCGACGCGAGATTAGATCCACTCATTCGCTGGCATTCCTCCTCAGCGTCGGCCCAATTGCTG